CCATAGAGGTGGGCAGGGACATCTATACGCGCGTCCAATCCCGCATAGTTCTTAGGAGGGGGAGGGGAGGGAGGGGATGGAGTCCAAAATACTGCCGTATGATGCAAAAGTCACATGGGGCATGGGAACTCCTCCCTTACTCCCTCCTACGTATTAGTAGTGGGCGGAGATAGAGGAGGGGAAAAAAAAGGACGGAAAGCATGCCGAGAGTATTCCGGCTATTGGCCCATGGCCCATAAATATAAGTGTATCAGATGCATTATAATGATATAGAGGTTCAATAACTTATAATGAATAGAAAGTAGTAAATAGAGAGTCAAGAGGGGCAATGTTGAAACTAAATAAATATGTACAATACCTGTGTGTATGTCTATAAATGATGTGTGTATATATATATATATATATATATATATATATATGTTTGTATCTATCAGTAATATCTTTATACTTTTGGATTATCGGCATAAACATATATCTCTGAAGATATATGGGAAGACGGATATTATATATGATACTTATCAGAATGTCATCTAAAGACAAATTACAGACTATGTACAAAATACCAACACTACTGTAAATGACCAGCTATAAATGCTACAAATCATTATCTAGTTAAGGACCTCTAAAGAAGCAAAATAATAGGGCCAGAAACAGGACCAAAGACCATCAATTAGAAATCAAAAATAATATTGACTATTAGAGGTATTAAAAATAAATAATAAATATAAATAAATAATAAAGATCAAACTAAAGTGGAGATAAATAAATACATATTAAACGTCATAGATAATTGTAAAGTTCCTATCAAGTTCATATTTTATTTATCAGAGATCACTGATAAAGGGAGAGTAGGAAAAACCTTCATTTAACCCCGCTGGGGACAGAGTGTTCAAACGGTAAATCCAAAAACACTCTCTCCTCCTAAGGAGTTTGTCCAAGTTCCCTTTCCTTTGGTCAAGTTTGACTAATTCTATACCCAAAAATTGGAGTACTGTATGGTCACCTTGATGACAATTCTTAACATGTCTGGATACTGTAGTTTCAATATACCTGCTGGTTTTGGAGTTAATGTGTTCCAAAATCCATCTTTTGAATGGCCTAAAGGTCTTGCCTACATATAGTTTGTTACATTGGCATTTTATCAAGTAGACAAGGCTTTTAGAGTTACAGTAAAAGAAATAATTTGGATAGAATGTATCAGATTGAATACTGTTATGAAAACTTTTTGAGTCCTTACAGATAAAATGACAGGCTTTACATCGGCCACATTTGTAAGTCCTTAGAAGTTTATTAGATAGCCAATGGGTCATGATCGATTTGGACTGTTTGAAATGGCTATTTATAAAGGCATCCTTGATATTCCTACCCCTTCGTGCTATAAGGGCCACATTTGGGGGAAGAACCTCTTTAAGGTGTTCGTCTTGTTTAAGCAGGTGCCAGTATCTATTTAAAATAGATTTAACTTGTTCCCAACCCGCTTCATATGTAGCGATGACTCTCAAATGTTTCGAGTCCAAAGTGTTATGACTTGAAAGTGACGATACATCCTTTAGAAGGTCCTCCCGATCAGTCAACAGGGCACGATGGTAGGCCCATTTTAAACACTTGTGTGGGTATCCATTAGCCCTGAACATTGCACGTAGTTCTCTAGCTCTTATTTTAAAATCTTGGATATCGGTACAGTTGTGCCTCAGGCGCAGGTACTGTCCAATTGGTATTCCTCTTTTGAGAGGGAATGGGTGATGACTTCTCCAATTAAGTAGGCTATTGGTAGCCATATAGTAGAGAAAATCCCAGAAACTTAGGGTGTGTGGAGAGAAGAACCCAAGTCTATCTACCACAACACCCTCGGCTAAGGGTATGCCCACATTGGGGGTATAGAATCCCCTGGTGTGTAACAATCAAAAAGATCAAAGAAGTAGTAGGATAAAATAAAAAATACTTTATTGAAAAACGTATAGAGACTATAAAAAATCACAGGGGGTCCAGGGTAGGGGGATGGCCCGTGGTGTGTGAGGCTATAATAGCACAATAGGAGGCAGCAAGGCAGATGCAGTAAGGGGTTGTTATATGGCACTGAATATGAGACAAAGGATACCTAGGAGTTTATGTGCTCCAATTTGCATATCCTAGTGGAGTGTCTTGGTGTAACATGTTTCAGGAAAGTCCTTAGTCAGAGTGTCTGCACAGGATATAATCAAACTGCTATTATGGGAATACCACCCAATAAGATAAATCAAGTGTGGTTCCCTGGAGTTTGTGGCAAGCTGGAAAAACCCGTTAGATAAATAGTAGATGAGACGGGTAGAAGGTGCTGGTTACACTAGTGAGATAAATCTGGGATCAATGATATAGTATATATAAGTAAAGAGAGAAATTCCTCTAATATATATAGAAAAAGATACCCAGATAGCTCAATTCATCTAGATAGTAGTCAGCCCCACAGTTCAAAAGTAATGAAGTGCTTGCAAAAGCAGACAGGGTAGCAACATTAGAAGTATGTTGCTAAAATGTAGCAAAATATTTTCAAATCTTAGTATAATTTTGTATACCATAGGGTTATTATTTCAGAAAGAGGAGTTGCAGTATAGCACTACTCTAAGTTGATTATAGATAAAATAGGGCTCAGAAAACTGCCCCTGCCTTCTAAATAATAAAAAACAAAAAAGAAAGGAAGGGAGAAGAGCCCCCAACCAGCAGGCACATCACCCACAAAAACCCCACCCCATGCAATGTAGCTGTACAAGACTAAATCATTGAGAAAGAGAGAGCCGCCTAAAATCTAAATCCAACATAGTAGGTAACATAGAAAGGTACTAAAATTAGGCTGGACTTCTAACTAGCACTAGAGAGAGGAGTCCGTCTAGATCTAAATCAAACGTATAGTAAAGTGACTGGCTAGGCTGAACTTCAGACAGACTCAACTAGCTCACGTATAGGAAAGTGACTAGCTAGGCTAAACTTCAAACTGACTCAACTAGCTCAACGCGCGTTTCGGCGCTGTGTGGCGCCTTTTTCAAGAGCGGCAAGGAGATCCCCCTGCCGTCAGGATTTAAATAGGGCTAGTGCCCGCCTCTCCCGTGACATCATGGCGGAACGTATGAGGCCGCGTCACGGGAGGGGGAGGAGCCAAGGGATGCTCTAGCCGGCAGTTATGCCGGTTAGGAAACAGATGAGATCAATGTAAAAAAATAGAATCATAAGTCAAAACGGATACCATAGAGCAAATCCTTGGGAGGTAAAGCCTCAAAAAGGAGCATTATATGAGAGATATATGATGAAGTTGAACAGTACACAGAAAGCATAATCTGCTTTCGATTATATCATACATATAAAACAGTCAGAGATGCCTGTCATGATTAGAATAGTAAAGAGGAAGAAAACTAGAATATTAATTAAATGTACACCAATAGGGATTGAGAGTTTGTATTAAAGACTATATCAAAACAGTTGATATTATTTAAATTCTTATTTAACCAATGGGAAGGGACACACACAGTAAAGTAGGAGAAAATTACATATGGTGTATATGGACATCATAAGAAAGGGGAGAAAGAAAACCCCTCATTCAGACCATTAGGATTCAGAGTCTTCAGCCGATAAATCCAAAAACATTCTCTTTGTCTGAGGAATCGGTCATAATCACCACATCTAGGGTTCTTTTTTACCAGTTCTAAACCGCAGAAGCGTAACCCCTTGGGGTCGTTGTTGTGATATTCGCGAAGATGCCTAGAGATAGGGGTTTCAGCTGAATATTTGCTAGATCTAATGTGTTCTTGTATGCGTTTCTTAAAGGGGCGGAATGTTTTGCCCACATATTTTTTATTGCATTCACAGGTAAGTAAATATACAATCCCTGATGTATTACAGTTGAAGAAGGAGGTTATAGTAAACGCCTCCTTCTCCATACTGTCTTTGACTATTTTGGAGTCTTTTTTCATAAATTTGCATGAAATGCACCTCCCGCATCTATAGGTACCAGTCAAGCGGGTCTGGAGCCATGTTGTAGGAGATGGAATTTCGGTTTTAAAATGACTTGGGGCTAAAAGGTCTCGTAAGTTTTTACCTCTCCGTGCCGTGATGGAGACATTGGGAGCCAGTACTTCTTGAAGGTGCTGATCATTAGTTAGCAGTGGCCAGTAGCGTCTGAGGGAACTTTTAATGTTTTCCCATCCTGCATCGTAAGTGGCAATTAGGCGTATATTATTCTTAGAGGTCTCTGCTGGTTTGGGGATATCCCCGCTCAACAACACATTGCGATCTGAGTCAAGTGCTCTCTGGTATGCACGTTTGAGGCACCTATTAGGGTAGCCTTTGGCTTTAAAGTGGCCTCTTAATTCTTTAGCCTTTGTCTTGAATTCATCAATAGTGCTACAATTACGTCAGACCCTAAGATATTGACCCGTCGGGATGCCCATTTTGAGCGGTATTGGATGAAAACTGTCCCATCTCAAAAGGTTATTGGTTGCCGAGGGTTTGCGATAAAGTGTGGTATGTATTTTGTTTTCAGATGTTATAGAGATCGTTACATCTAAAAAATTCAAATTTTGACCCCCAAATTCATTCGTGAATCTGAGGTTTTCATCATTAATGTTCAGGATACAGACGAACTCATTAAACTCTTGTGAATTCCCCAGCCACACTATGAGCACGTCATCGATGTAGCGACGCCAAAGGAAGATCAAAGGTAGATATTGAGAGATTTCTGGATGTTGGAATAGATGTTCCTCCCACCAGCCCAGATGGAGGTTAGCATACGATGGGGCACAAGCTGTCCCCATCGCAGTCCCCCTGATTTGATGATAGTATTTATTTTTGAATAAAAAGTAATTATGTGAAAGGATGTATTCAAGAAGCTCCAAACAGAAGGTAGTATGTGCTGTAAATGCCGGGCCTCGTTGTTCCAGAAAATGGCGTATGTGGCAAATGCCATTGGAATGGGGAATGGATGAATAGAGGGCTTCGATATCCAAGCTACATAATTTGGCCGAGGGAGGTACCTCCAGATTCGCTAAGAGGGCCAGGGTCTGTTTTGTATCCTGAAGGTAAGAGGGAAGTTTTTCAACGAATGGTCGTAGGATTTTGTCAATATATATACTACAATTCTGTGTCAAGTTATCTATGCCTGAGACAATGGGGCGGCCAGGGGGTAAGGTCATACTTTTATGTACTTTAGGTAAGCAGTAGAAGGTCGCTATCCTCGGATGGCAATTGAAGATGAATGCGTATTCATCCCCCGATAGCAGCCCTCTACTGCGGCCCCTGTCCAGAATCTCCCTATACTTTATAAGGAAGTCATTCGTAGGGTCAGATTTTAGAATTTTGTATGTATTCTCATCTTCCAACACTTTGAGAACCATTGTAACATAGTCTGTGATATCCATCATGACTATGTTCCCGCCTTTGTCCGCAGGTTTCAAGATAATTTCTGTGTTATTTCTCAGAGACTTAAGTGCCACTTGTTCCCTACTTGACAAGTTCATATTGGGGTGAAAATCAAGGGATCTATTGTCTATTTTATCAATTTCATTTTTCATTGTTTCTAAGAAAAGATCAATATTACGGTAATTTCCCAGGTATGGAGTAAATTTACTTTTTAATTTTAAATCAGTGTATTTTGAAGGGTCGGTTTCATTGCTTTCTTCCCATAGGTCCATAAGGGTCATAAGGCATTCATATTCTCTATTGGACATGCCATGGGATTTAGCTTTCTTTTCTTTATTGATCTCATGAAATTTATGTAGAGCGAGTTTCCGGGCAAAGAGATGGAGGTCTTTTACCCACATGAATTTATTTAAGGGGGGTACTGGTACGAAGGAGAGCCCTTTCTCTAGAAGTGAGAGATGGTCATTGTTCAAGATCTGTTTTGAAAGATTAATGACTCTTTGGTCCATTACTCAGCAGTTTTCTTGAGTCAAATCATCTCCTTCCGGGTCTCCTGCCTCTGTTTCCTTCCCTGTCTCGTGTGGGGTATCTGTTTTTTCGGGTTTGCATACCGTCCATGTGGCCCATCTCTAAAAAATTCACCCCTTTTTTAAGTATTCCTTTCGGATTAGTATATGTAGGAGTTGTTGAAGTTTGTAGTTGTTGGTCAATTTGTGATCCATTAGAGTTGTCATTGTCAGTGTCGGAAGACTCATAATCTGATGTTAAGTAGTTGTTAGAATTTGTCCTAACTCTACGGTTGAAATGTTGATAGACTCTGTTTGTTTGGTAGTCTCTTGAGTCTCTCACAAACTTTTGATGTTTGCGTATCTTAATGTTATTTTGAAATTTATCTAGATTAGTTTTCAATCTAGTTTCAAAGTGGGTGAATTCTGGATTAGACTGATATTGTTGTGCACTAGCAATCTCCTGTTCAAGATTAAGGTTAACTTCAGAGATTTTTGCTTTTTCAAATTTTATTAAGATCTCCATGAACCGCTTGGAACATGCTCCGGCTGCAGATTCCCATTCTTGCATTAAATCAGTATTGTCTGTATATGAAGATGGTAGATTACGAACCCTAAGGCCCCGTGGAATCATCTCCTTTTTGATATAGTTTTCAAGAGATGACACCTCCCAGCTAGATTTAATTTGTTTTTGGTACAGATTTTGCAAGTTATTAAATGCTTGATTGATGTCAGGGATAGAGTTAGAGCAATCTAATTGCTCCACTGAGAACACATTGTCCGAGTCAATACACCATAGATTACTGTCTGGTTTATTGGATAAGAACCCTGCCATAATTGCCATAAGCCTCAAAAAGGAGCATTATATGAGAGATATATGATGAAGTTGAACAGTACACAGAAAGCATAATCTGCTTTTGATTATATCATACATATAAAACAGTCAGAGATGCCTGTCATGATTAGAATAGTAAAGAGGAAGAAAACTAGAATATTAATTAAATGTACACCAATAGGGATTGAGAGTTTGTATTAAAGACTATATCAAAACAGTTGATATTATTTAAATTCTTATTTAACCAATGGGAAGGGACACACACAGTAAAGTAGGAGAAAATTACATATGGTGTATATGGACATCATAAGAAAGGGGAGAAAGAAAACCCCTCATTCAGACCATTAGGATTCAGAGTCTTCAGCCGATAAATCCAAAAACATTCTCTTTGTCTGAGGAATCGGTCATAATCACCACGTCTAGGCTTTACCTCCCAAGGATTTGCTCTATGGTATCCGTTTTGACTTATGATTCTATTTTTTTACATTGATCTCATCTGTTTCCTAACCGGCATAACTGCCGGCTAGAGCATCCCTTGGCTCCTCCCCCTCCCGTGACGCGGCCTCATACGTTCCGCCATGACGTCACGGGAGAGGCGGGCACTAGCCCTATTTAAATCCTGACGGCAGGGGGATCTCCTTGCCGCTCTTGAAAAAGGCGCCACACAGCGCCGAAACGCGCGTTGAGCTAGTTGAGTCAGTTTGAAGCTTAGCCTAGCTAGTCACTTTCCTATACGTGAGCTAGTTGAGTCAGTCTGAAGTTCAGCCTAGCCAGTCACTTTACTATACGTTTGATTTAGATCTAGACGGACTCCTCTCTCTAGTGCTAGTTAGAAGTCCAGCCTAATTTTAGTACCTTTCTATGTTACCTACTATGTTGGATTTAGATTTTAGGCGGCTCTCTCTTTCTCAATGATTTAGTCTTGTACAGCTACATTGCATGGGGTGGGGTTTTTGTGGGTGATGTGCCTGCTGGTTGGGAGCTGTTCTCCCTTCCTTTCTTTTTTGTTTTTTATTATTTAGAAGGCAGGGGCAGTTTTCTGAGCCCTATTTTATCTATAATCAACTTAGAGTAGTGCTATACTGCAACTCCTCTTTCTGAAATAATAACCCTATGGTATACAAAATTATACTAAGATTTGAAAATATTTTGCTACATTTTAGCAACATACTTCTAATGTTGCTACCCTGTCTGCTTTTGCAAGCACTTCATTACTTTTGAACTGTGGGGCTGACTACTATCTAGATGAATTGAGCTATCTGGGTATCTTTTTCTATATATATTAGAGGAATTTCTCTCTTTACTTATATATACTATATCATTGATCCCAGATTTATCTCACTAGTGTAACCAGCACCTTCTACCCGTCTCATCTACTATTTATCTAACGGGTTTTTCCAGCTTGCCACAAACTCCAGGGAACCACACTTGATTTATCTTATTGGGTGGTATTCCCATAATAGCAGTTTGATTATATCCTGTGCAGACACTCTGACTAAGGACTTTCCTGAAACATGTTACACCAAGACACTCCACTAGGATATGCAAATTGGAGCACATAAACTCCTAGGTATCCTTTGTCTCATATTCAGTGCCATATAACAACCCCTTACTGCATCTGCCTTGCTGCCTCCTATTGTGCTATTATAGCCTCACACACCACGGGCCATCCCCCTACCCTGGACCCCCTGTGATTTTTTATAGTCTCTATACGTTTTTCAATAAAGTATTTTTTATTTTATCCTACTACTTCTTTGATCTTTTTGATTGTTACACACCAGGGGATTCTATACCCCCAATGTGGGCATACCCTTAGCCGAGGGTGTTGTGGTAGATAGACTTGGGTTCTTCTCTCCACACACCCTAAGTTTCTGGGATTTTCTCTACTTTAATTCTCTGTTGGGTTAGGCCCTTTCCTCTTGCCCATTTAGTCCTCTTTTGGCTCTAGGACTGGATTGTCTCCAGCTCTATAGCCACTATTTTCTCTTTAATTTATTGGTAGCCATACTTTTTCTGAAGAGGTCAGTTTTAATTTCACCCTTTGTGTTAGGGATCAAAGTGAGATCCAAGAAATTAAGATTAGGTGTACCCATTTCTGATGTAAATCTCAAATTAAGGGTATTGTCATTCAGTATCTGTACAAACAAAGTATATTCTTCCGTGGTGCCTTTCCACACAATCATAATATCATCAATATACCTCTTCCAAGAGAGGATATATTGGGTGAATTGGTTGGAACAGGCTGTGAACACGATTTTTTCTTCCCACCACCCCAGGAGCAGGTTGGCATATGAGGGTGCACAAGACGTCCCCATTGCCGTACCCTGCACCTGGTGGTAGTATGTACCATTGAATAGGAAGAAATTATGAGTTAAGACAAAATGTAATAACTCAATGACAAAATCACTATGTTGGTATAGGTGTAAACCTCTGTAGAAGGAAGTACTGTACATGTTTGAGCCCTATAGAGGGGGGAATCGAACTGTAGAGTGCCTCCACATCCAAACTACAAAACATAGAACCCGTGGGCATATTTACAGTATTGAGGTGGGCCAAAGTTTGCATTAGAAGCACCGAAACGTGCGTCGGGTTCACATGGGTTCACATCACTAATGGTGGCACTAGCTTTTTTAAGCACTTTATTTTATTTTTAGTTGGTATTCAGCACTGAGCTATTGTATTAGAGGGGGGACAGGCAGCAACATCTTTTTTCCTCTCCTTACTTTCATTATAGGGACAATATAGAACACCCTTGAAGGTGTTGTTCCTTAGGAGTCATAGGGATTATATACTCTTCTGCTCTCTTCCAATTGAGGTGGGTCCTTGTGCCCTGCTAACTACTATCAAGAGCTAGCATAGAATACCTTTTTAGGGTGCTCCAGGACAAGATTTATATAGGGCATTTGTACAATTATTATATATATCCCTTCCCTCTATGCTCTGACTGCCTGTCTATACGGCTATTCAATTTTCACCTCATTTCTTTGAGGTTAGATATTACACTCCTATTTTAGGTCTTGTTCCCTCTATAGACATAAAGATTGGATCCATGTTTTCAAATTATACAGGTTTTTTGATAGTCCATGTATAGTGCCCCTTTGTTGTTTTCCTTTATAGAACCATAATAAAGTACTTTTTTAATTTATTTGTTTCTGTGGCACTTTCCTGGAATCAATGCATAATATACTATGTTATAGATCAATGGATCAATCTTTTCATCAATACTCAGTGCTGTTTTACTTTAGTCACAATATGTATTAAGTATCCTTATTGTATTTAAATCCAGTTTTGAGTCATATTTTACTGAGGCTCTATTATTTTCTACTACCTTATATTCTATTTTGGGTACATGCCCTCTATTGGTGGATCTGGAACCACCACTCTGACCTACGTGAGTTCCATTCTCACAGTTTTGTGAGTTTGGTATACACACGTTCAATATCCCACATGTCTATACCGAATATTTTTGTATATTATTTTTTTTTTTTTTTTTATACTGATGCACAGTGTTGTGTTTTCTCTGTAATTTGAAAAAGTGAAATAAAGATTTAAACATGGAAAAAAAAATATCCCACATGTCAACTAACAGTCTGTTACACTGGGAGAGCCACCATCCCTACAGATTAAAAGCTTCCATTACTTTTAGCCAGTACTTGAGGGCTAGACGAAATTGCTCGATAGACCAGACATTCTATCATGAATGCAAAATATAGAAATCCTGGTTTAGGGAACTAGGGTACCCCAACCATGTCTTAAAATGTGCTTTTCATCGGGTATGCAATATTAATAGAAATACCAGTCTCCACTTTACTAAACCGAAACAAGAATGCAAGGCCCCACAATGCATTGCAACATTTGATCAAGGCTGGGGACCTTTGTCCCAAATCCTCAAGAAAAATTGGCCGATACTTCTACATAACCCAGAACTCCA